TTTTTATAGTAAATAACGTTTCAATGTCGAAGTGAGACGAGAAATTAACTTTGAACGATTAGAGCCTTGCAAATACTGACAGCTTTTTCCTCAAAACAAAACTGTTATTGGTGGTCAGACTAATTGTGAAAAATTGCTGTTCAGCTTTGTTTGGAAACTTACATACCGGTCGAGGAACGTTGGTAAAATTTACAAGGCAACTGTAGAGCACTTTTGTCGCACTGGGTTAAATTCAGCACAAACTTTACTTTATAACACTTGGATTTTTCCAAGAAGTGCTTTTTCTGCTACTCAACTGTTTGATATAAATTTTTTCAAAATGGCTTAGAAAGTGATATTTAAAGTGCAGGCTGGAATTTAATTTACAGGAAAGCTGAAAGCAACTTTAAATTCTTTACTTGTTGGAGAAGAGGTGAAAATAATTGTCAGTTTATTACTTTCAAGTTTTTTAGAAGCATACCTTGAGATTAAAGTAACTATTTTTGTTGTTGCCAATACTCATGTTTTTTTCAAAAACGATATTTATCGATTTATTGCTAGACTAACTGTAGAAAATTGCCTTCCAACCTTACTTAAAAGTGTACAGCAGTACTAAGCGAATGTATAGTTTTTGAAGAACTTTAATGGTACTAAACATTAAGAGTCTGTCGTTCGACAATGTTTCCAGCAAAAAAAGATGGAATGGTGCTCATCTTAAAAAACCACCTATACTAACTTCTTATGTTAAAAATTTTTACAATTTTCTCCTTATGAAGATTTAGCAATTACCAGTAGAGTATTATTTTCGCAAAATGAACTGCTTTCTACTATTACTGAAGGCTTCTAGATTTTAAAAACTTATAAATGCGTCGATATGTTGAAACGGAGATTGGGCCATCTTAGTAGTAGTTTCTCAATTTCAGGTGCGATGTGCCGTTTGTCGTCATTTCTGTTAACTGTTCCGATGACGTCAGACCTGCTTCTTTTGCTTACTTTCAGTTCGTCATATTCCTTCCCTATCCGGTGTGGTTATTTGGTTGTAAATACGGAATTCGGGTCTCCATTATATTTATTTATTTTTTATTTATTATTAAAAATTTTAGATTTTTTGCAAGAATCTATCTAAAAATTGTTTTTTTTTACTTATGCTTTGGTCTCTTT